CGCGGTTCCTGCAGCCGCTGCCGCCGGCCCCGAGCCCCAGCCCCACCGGCTTCCGCGGGCACCGCGTGCGGGACCCCCGCCCCGGCCCCGCAGCCCCGCGCCGCGCCACCGGCCCCGGTCACCTGAGCCCCTCGGGACGGGAGGCGCCGGGTCGGCGGCCGCCCCCACGCCCCCGCCCCACCCGGCACGACCGCGCCGCAGCTCCCGGCCGAGGCCGCCGGCCCCGAGGAAAGTACAAAGGCGGGCGGCGGGGCGGCGGGGCGGCGGGGGAGGCAGGGAGAGGGCGGGGGGGAGGAGGGGTGACGAAGGGGGGCCCGGGCGCGCCAGACGCGAGGCGCCCGCCCCCGCCGCCCCTACCCGCCGGCCCGGCAGCCGCAACAAAGACCCCCGACCCGGCCACCTCCCCTCCGAGCACGGGCGGCCGGCGAGGGGCCGCGCCCCCAGGGCCGCATTACCTGGTCGCACGGGGTCAAGCGGCGCTGTCAGCCCCAAGTTCATGGTCCGGTTCCTCCGCGGGGCCCCCGGTGCGGGGATCGCAGCGCCCAGGAGGCGGCCGAGCGCACGGGGAGGGTACGCGCGGCTCCGGCCGCGTCCCCAAGTCCGTCCTCGGGGCGCCGCGGGGTCGGAGCGCGCGGGGCCGGGTCCGCGCCGGAGCAGCCGCCGCACATCCAGCGCCGCCGAGGCCGGGCGGTGGGGCGGAGGGAGCCCGGTCCGCGCCCGCCCGCTGCCTCCGGGCCGCTCCTGCGGTGCGCGGGTCGGCCGGGCACGGCGGGGGCCGAGCGGCGTCCCGGGCGAGGCGGAGAGGAGCGGCCCGAGCCGCGGCCGCGGCGCGTGGAGCTAAGAGCGAGGCGGCGGCGGCGGCGACAGGACAAAGGAGACCATGTGCGGAGGGAGGGAGGAGGGAGCGGGAGGAGGAGGAGGAGGAGGAGGGCGCGCGGCGGCGGCGGCTTCTCCCCGGCGGCCGCCTCGGGCTCCCCGGCCGCGGGTCCCGCCTCTCCAGCAGCGCCGCGGCCCGACCGCTCCCGGCCCCGCCGCCGCCGCCGCGCTGGAGCCCGCGGCTCCGGGAGCCCTTGTCGGGCGGCCTCGCGGGCACGGCAGCAGCAGGGGCGCGGGGAGGGCGGCGCGGGGCGACGGCGCCTCCGGGCCGGGGCTGGCGGGCGGCGGGGCGCGGGGCTGGCTGGGCTCCGGGCCGCGCTCCGCTGCGGCGCCTGCCTCTGCCGCCGGCTCCGGCTCAAGTGAACTCCATCGGCGACCGCCGCGGGCTCCCGGGCCGGACGGGGGGCAGCACGGGCGGCGGCGGCGGCGGCGGCACCGGGGGCCTCGCTCCGGACTTCGCTCCCCGACCGCGCCGAGCGCGCCTCCTGCAGACGCTCGGGCGCTCGGAGCGGGACTTCCTCGGCGCGCGGAGCCCCCGTCGCCGGCCGCCGCCCCTCCCCCGGCCCGCCCCGCGCGCCCCGCCCCGCGCCGCCCCTCCTCTCGCCCCGGCGCCGGGCCGCCCCGCGGGGGTGCAGTCCGGGCGCGACGTCGACAGCTGTCGCTTCCCCCGCGCCTCGGGCCCCGGGTCCCCACGGCGGGCGGCCCCTCGGGCGGGCGCGCCGGGAACTGCAGCGCTCCCCGCCCTCCCCGCGGTTGCCGCTTCCAGCGTTGCGCGGCGGCCGGCGAAGGCCACGAGGCCCGCGGCCTGGGGTTGGGCTGAGGCTGGGCCGCGCTCTGGCCGAAAGCGGGCTCCGTGAGCAGCTGTGAGGGCTGCAGAGCGGTGTGCGTCGGGGACGGCCCGGCACACAGTAGGTGCTCAATATAGAGCAACAAGTACGCTGCAGAAAATGGCGCGGGGGGGGGGGCAGAGTCTAGTGTCAGAACACAGAGCTCTTCCTCTAACCTCACCCCAGCACGATCCAAGACTAAATGCAGTCGGTTAAGTCCCAGGGACAATGGAGCCCACGACCAGGCCATTGCAGACACCCCCGCCCCTTAGTCTTCCCATCCACTGACATCTGTAGGCCTCACAGCCGCAAAGGTGCAGCCGGCCGGTCCCCCCAGCGTCCACCAGATGCAGGGAAGGGATGAAAGGATACCGCAGCCTCACGAAACGGGCCTCAGTTAATATCGTTCTATCATTTATGGCCACGGTGTACCCCAGGGGCTCCCTGTACGGTCTGGAAAGGAAGACATGGGGGCTCCATGCCCATGAACTTGGTGTTGGGTGGATTCCTCTGCATAACCCACTCCTCCCAGAGCATGCCCAGCTCCCTGCTGTCTAGCCTGGGAGCCCCTCTGCAGAATTCTGGCCTCCTTACCGGCTCTCTCGACCACAGAGGCCCGGAAAAGGTACTAGGCCATACATGGCGATGAGGAGACCCTCTGCAAACTTCTGGAGTTGTAACTCCATGTCTGCAGCTTGGCAGGGCCCCTCCTTAGTGAGCAGGAAAAGTTGCTGTGATTTCCCAGCACCAGGGAAAAGAAAAGGGGCACACAAGGCGAGCTCGCACCGGGGAGGGTTCTAGGGTGGTGCGGGGAGCACCAGGGGGAGTGAGGGCAGCCCACAGCTCCCGATGTCCCTGCTGATGCCCATTACCTGCAGAGCAGTGGAGCAGAGGGGAAGGAACGGGGCTTGGGAGAAACGTACATCACATACAAATGCCATGGAGACTGGCTTAAAGCAATAATGTCCCTTCCTCACCTCTTTGAAGTTCAACATCCATCACAGTTCGATTTCATGGCGCTCCTGAAAAACCTCTCAAGAGGGAGAAGAGGGGGTGTTTGCTGTATGGCATGTGATTCTTTAACCTCTATATACAAGGGATTTTGGAAATGGGGTCTCTTCTCTCTTGAGCCTGATCCCCTCCCCAGCTGGTAGCACTGTGTGATGTTTCTAAAGACCCTTTAAAAATAAATAAATAAATGTGTGTGTGTGTGTGTGTGTGTGTGTGTATATATATATATATACATATATATATATATATGTATATATATATATATATAATGTAATAGCCATTCTTCTCTACCTCTACCCCCAAAGAAGTCAGAAGGAAGGGTGCCTCGGCCAAAGACATGCATTTGGACTTGGATTTCCCAATTGTTTATACGATGTCACAAAACCCAGCTGAGGCCCTCAGGCTAGGGGCATTCACGCTGAAGCGGTTTCTGCAGTAAGAAGACAGCTCAAAGGCAAACATTAAATTTTCAAGAAAAGACATTAAAATCTTGTTTCTTTTGGTGCAATCAGAATGGGACGCTTTTCTTGTCTTGTTGCTCTAATAAAATCAATATTACAGGGAAGAGATTGCCAGAGCTCCTGCCAGGTCCCCCACAGGGTAAACGGAGATGCACAAAAGCACGGGGAACGTAGCTGACCAACGAAAACAAGCACTTAGCCCTCCGCAGAGCTTTTATGCGGCAGACTTTCTGACACTTCACCATGCCTTGCATTAGACCGTCATCTCTGGTTATCAAGGACTGGATCCCAGAAAAGCCTGGGATAAAGCTGCATGTGTCCCTGTATTTTGACGATTTGGAATCCGGAGGAACGTGGAAACGTCAACGGCCAAGCCTCTAGAGAACGCGAAGAACCGGCGTGTACACACTGTGTCCATATTTAGTCCCTTGGCCCCTGCCTGTGACCCTGGCCCCGCCAGGCCACCACTACCATCTGGCTGGCTCCGTTCCTCAGCCTCTCCCCAGACACGTGCATGAGTCCGTTCTGATTGGTTTCCGGGTTGTTCCATGGCCCCTCCTTTCTGGAAGGACGGGAATCAATATCAACACAGGAAAGGAAGAAAGAAGGAAAGGAAAAGAAAAAGAATGATCACCCCAGGGTGGCTGGATCCCCGTCAGAGGTCTGACTTTCAAGAACCAAGATTCATCACGTGGCGGTGGTGGTGGTTTTTCCCTGAGAAATCTGGCTTCCCTTTATTGTCATTTTCATCTAAAGGTGGCAGGCAGGGGTGTCTGGGTGGCTCAGTCAGTAAAGCGTCCTACTCTTGGTTTCGGCTCAGGTCATGATCTCCTGGGTCCTGAGACTGAGCCCTGAGTCAGGCTTCAAGCTCAGCAGGGAGTCTGCTTAAGATTCTCTCTCCCTCTCTGCCCCTCCCCCCAACTTGTGTGCATGCACACTCTCTCTAAAATAAATGAAGCTTTAATAAAAGAAAAAAGGTGGCTGGAAGCCACTCTGTTATATTCACAAGACTTAACATACCAAGCACTCACGGCTTCTCTAACATCACCTTCCACTTCTGAACCAGATCTCAGGAAGGCAAGTCTTACAAGGCAGGTACCCTAACATGATGCAGATAACAAGAATATGGACTCAACGGCTTCCCAGCATTAGATCAGTTATTTCAGGAACAAAGAGGAATTTTAATATAAGACCAAAGACCTTAGTCAAGTTTAGGATTTCCAGCTAAAACTTAAAAACAAACAAACACAGACCAAACCCAAGCAAAATTAAAATACCGAGTCATCATTCTCAAGTCTCACAATACAGCTAAAGATTTGTTTTTAAACTAATGGCAAATCAATGTAAATCAATGTTAAATGGCAAAGTTTTGAAGCTTAAAATGTGATTTGGTTCAATTTGTATCACAAATTACCAGACTGAGATTAAACAATTTTTTGGTAAAATATTTCTTATAAATTCTGGCCTTTTGTAGAGCATCTTGTTACAAGAAAAGCTCATTCGTTTTGTGGCATCCTCTCTCCGAAATATAATGAACTTCAGGCATTCCCTAACAGAACATGGTTGGTGACTCTTGGCAGGTAGAGAGAGGGTAAGCAAGAGGAGGTCTTTATGAAAATGTCTGCACTTCTATATTTTACTTATTTTTTTTTAAGTCAACTCTATGCCCAACGTGAGTCTCAAACGCACGACCCCAAGATCAAGAGTTGCACATTCTACTGAGCCAGCCAGGAGCCCCTCGAGCTTCTGTATTTTAAATTATGTGGTATAAGAAGACCACTAGAGAGAAGAGAAAACCCAGGATTCTGTCTTCAAAACTCACCTTGGGAAAGAGGTCACCCCACCTGGGTTATTTCTCTAAGAGCTTGATCTTTTCAAATTCTAAAGCTCTGCAAGTTTTGGGAATTCAAGTTTCTACCCATTCTTTGGGTAGAGGTTAAGAGGCAGTGTCTGGTTGACATCGTGAGACCCTGGAGAAAGTCCCTCCACTCTCCGTGCCTTAGTTTCTTCATCTTCATCTGAGGTATGGGGACAACAATACCCACATCTCCAGGGTGCCTGTCTGTAATGGCACCTTTCACTTAGTCAGTGGCTCTGTGTGTTGACTCTCATGATCGAAGATGGCACTTGCTTCTGATTCCTGGGGAGGCCAACAAAACGAAAGTATATTCTAGTACGGTTGCAATGGCCATTCCACTGGCCATGCCGTCTGCTGGATTCTTTTAATGCAAACCACCTCACTGATAAGGAGAACTACCACGAAAACCACCCCTGAAAATCAGGAATGACACCTGTCCTAGAAAACACACCACCTGTACTAGGGAGCCCCACTCACACAGGCAAACAGCCCTTTTGGACGGGGTCGAACAGGAGACTGTATAAGCTTGGGTCACTAAGAAGGCTGGTGAGTTGGGAGCCATGTGCATCTTCTTGATAGGTGGTAAAATCAATCCTGAGTCAAGCAAAACCCTCCAGGAGTTCACCAGGCTTCCAGATGTCCTCCACCTCCTAATGGAAAGAGTTTTAACTTCTTCAAACGTAAAATAGTGTGCTTCCTAATTATGTCATTTTGATGCACTGAATCGCAATTTCTGACTTAAACAGGCCCACACTGTGATCCGGGACCACAGGAATAGTTTCTTACTGGTGCAGAGGCATGTTTTTCTGGTTTTGTTCCTTTTCTTTGTGGGGGATACCCAACACCCTCAATGTGATTTTAAATTCGACCATCGAGGACTAGGTCTTGCCCATCTCTACTCACGCCGGAGGGTAGCAGCGCTATGAGGGACAGGAGTCTGGACCTCTCGGTACTTAATATTATCCATTTGTCAGGATATAATGCTAGCCTATTCCCCGTGATATCCCTTCTTTCCAAACCGACCTGGTTTCTTGCGGACATAATTCACATCGTGGAATTTGCGGACCTGTCTGGTACCCACCGTGGTACCGGGAGGTCTCCCTCAATAGCCAACAGAGGAGAGAGAATGAATAGGCAGCTGAGGTTTTCCCAGCCTGCTGGTAGGGTGGGGGTGCCTGACAGGCGTTGGGGTACCCTGATAGAGTGGAGAGAGGCTAAGGGCAGAGGACACTACTAGGAGTCCGGAGATACTTGCGGTTGGCCTGGAGCGGGAACGGGAGCTGCTGCTCCTTCCCCATGACAGGCGACCAACAGCCCTCGTTTGGAGAGCTGGAGCCAACAGGTTGCTCACCACCAGGAAGCAGGAAGCTGCCCCACTGCCAACATTGTCCTGCTTCCCACCTCTGTTGACTACTGACATTACGCCTTCTGTGATGTCCAGCCCAGATTAAAACTCTTTCTGGGTCCTAGGGATTTCTCCTGCATCGGACAGATCACTTTAAACTGTAGATCATGCCTGCCTCCCCTCATGATGCACGGCTGGTCAACCTCGGCCCCAAGCCACTAGGCTCCGTACCCCCCCGCCACCGCCCCTTCCGCACAGGCAATTTTAACATGGAAGCTTCATTACTTATCACTCTGAAAGAAGGCGACAATAGCTCATGCTCTCGCTGTTGTAAAGCAAAAGGCTCCACCATTACATGCCTGTGTTGCTACCATTGATCACAGGGCCGCAACCAGAGGGAAGTAAATAAACCAACCCGGGTTAGTTTATGATGCGTACTATTGAGACGCAGGGCGGAATAAATATTTTCCAAGTGTGGAAGTCAAGAAAAGGAATTTTACTTTCAAACTTCGCAGTGTGCTATAAACTACAGAGGGAAAAAAATAGAAGACCCATAAACTATCTCTCACTTAACCACCAAATCTACATTAAAATATTAATATTCAGAATGTGACAACGCCACAAAGAAAGGCAATGAAAAATGAAATCGTATCCAGTCTCCGTTCATGTCGCCCAGAGGCACCTTATTTTTTGCTGACGAGCACGAGATATGGACTCTGAGGCTGGGCCTTCCTGGCTCTCCCCTGTGCTTTGGTCGCCAACTCCCCCCTGGTGACACCATTTCCTACTGGCCAGGAGTTCGCCATTGGGGGTCTAGAGGCCTGATCTGATGCGGAGTCGCAGTTCTGACAGGTGCGTCTGGCCCCTTCGTCACTGTACCATGTTCTGCCATCTGCGTGATGGGGTGAGTCTTGATTCCTTACTCCCTTGGCCAAACCTGGGTTTCCATATACCTACAATGTAGAGAGCTTCTAAGGTCCAGAGGGTCACGGTCAGGCTGTCTCAGCTGCGCTCACAGAGGCAGGTACGTGTGTAGTTGACCTTCACAGGTTTTACCGACACCCTATATCAAGGTCACCTGCAAAAGTAACGTGAGAAATGGTGGCCAACTGCATGTCAGCATTTCTTTCCTTACAACCTTCTCTCAAGGGCTTTGCTCTTTTGCCCAGGAAAAATGTAACCTCAGGCATAGATAATCTTTAGGACCCTGGAAATCCTCTCCTCCCTGTCTACTAATACACGTGGGTCTAACAAAGCTTTTGTGCTTTCGTTTTAGCTGCATATGGTACTGGGCTGATGGTCCTGATATTTATTTGCAGAAATTCTTGTTGGGCAAGAACACAACATTTCCTTCTTCTGTTTCAGTGACTCAGACAGTTGCTGGGGTACTGACTATGTGCGCAGCCAGGACTGCAAAGAACTCCCTTGGTTTAGCTTCCCTGAAAGCATTCCTGTTGATGAATGTTTCTGATTTTCACCCTTATTCTGGTCTTAGCGGTTCTCCCTGCCCCTTGCATACCGTCAGCACGGAGTGGAAAACTCTGACGTGGCCTCATGAATCAAACGGGCAGACTTTGGGAATGGTCATGGGCTGTACAAACGCTGTACAACTGCTGTGATCACATCCTGCTGTGACTGAGGGTAAGGGCAAGCCTACATGCTTGCAAAGACCCGTTAATTCTTCTCTGGTCCTGTATAATCTCCAATGATTGCTTCTGCTCCAGACTACAGGTTATCTTGAGGGTTTCCATAGGGAAATACATTCAGGACGATGTCTGACATGTGTTACCTGTTTCCTGGCTCACCTCTGGACACAGTCGTTCCTGTGGGTCTTACCTTGCCTTAGTGGGCCCAGGATGCTGCTTTGGAGATCAAAGATTCCATCCCTTAAGGGCCAGGACTGTGCCCTAACACTCCCACTCCCCATCATCCTTCCCCCTAACATCCACTATGAATGCCCTAGGTGAAGCCAACGGTCAGGAAACACCGCTCAGATCAATGAGTTAATGAATGAATGATTCACCTCTCTGCCGACTAAAAGAATGAAGACTTATTTCAAAAACAAACTATAAAGACCTCTCCACAAACCACAAGCAGTGTAGGATTTCACAGAACACAGGAGCCCTCCATCGTGAGGCTAACATGAGAACACACGTAAATTCTCTTGGAAACTGATCGTTAATTAAGCTGCCAATCATCGTGGCAGCTACGCTCTAAATACGGCCTCTAACACCTCTGGATGCGTCTGCTCTTCTCCCACGAGAAGGTGGCGCTTACATCCTCTATCCTGGAGTCTGGGCTGGACCCTCGACTCTCTTGACCAGGGGAATGCGGTGGAAGTAACGTTCTCGAGCTTCAGGGCTCAGGCGCTGGGAAGGCCTGGAAGCTTCTGCTTCTTGCTGCTTGGCACCCGGTCACCATGTTGTGAGGAAGCCCAAGGAGACCCGCATGGAGGATTCAGCTCTCGGGACCAAAGACCCGGCTGAGCTCCCAGCCAAGGGCCCGTAGGAGCTTGCCAGCCGCGGAGATAAACATTGTGGCTTTGGCTCCCCCAGCCCAGCTGAGCTTGCCTTAGCCAAGGCCATGTGGGAGAGAGAGGAGGCGTCCTGAGCAAATGGCAAAATCAAGAGCTAATAAATACATGTGTGTTCAGTTATTAAATCTGTAGCTCATTACAAAGCGATAGGTCAGCGGGACAACCATCTAGGTCGCGTCCAACGTTCAGAGCAAGGAAGCAGGTGTGCACCTGCCCGGGTAAGGTGCTCCCACCAGCTTCACCTCTGCTTTCTTGCCTCCGTGAGGGAATGACGGGGACCCTGAGGTTAGAGAAGGAACACGACTGAAACAAAGATCAAGACTACCAATGCGAAAATCCTGAAATCGGAAAAATCTCGGCCAAAATAAGGAAGAGTTTTCCATTTGATAAAGCAGAAGAACACTTAACATGACAATGTTAACGAAAGAATCAATCTGATCTCTCCCTTTCGTTTTGGAGGCTGCAAATGTTTGCAAAACTAAAAAGTCTTTAGTAATCCCTTCTTTTATCTAAAACAGATTGCCGGTTCAAGCACAGCCTCATGAAACTGCAGGTTCAAAGGAACCTGAAACCACATTAGCATAAAATCTGGAATTCTCATTTCCACCAACTGTACAGCTGCCATCTGACAGCTCTTCTGTGATTTTTGGGTTTCAAACGGAAACTGAAAGTAGTTGAGGTGGCACAGGCCGGGGCTCCGCGTGTCCGTGCCCGCTCCCTTCCACGAGCTCACACGTTCGAGAGTCTCCCTAGAACCCCGCGGGTCAGAGACGCCCCCGCCGTGTGGCGTGTGCCCAGCCAAACCGGGGGAAGCGGGGACAGTCGAGAAGGCAGGCAGGGTAGAAAGACTTTGCTTCCACTTTGAGGGGTGTGAAATATTTATAAGTAAATTCACACAAATCAGAGTGAATCTGCTGGGGGGGGGAGGGAGAGGAAGAACACCCTTTCCCAGTTTTTGCATCACAAATGCCAAGAAACCCACACTCCAGACCCTTCAGTCTAAGCACCAGGGGCGCGCATGCGGACTCCCTCGCACGACTCCCTGAGCACTTCCAGAGCTTCCCCTTTAGGTAATGACGACTCGATGCCACTACATTTAATTCTGGAAAACCCAAGGGGGGCTGCTTTGCCTCTGCTGAAATATCATCACCCCTGGGACAAAAAAAGTCACACTTCTTTTACAGAAAAGGCGGGAAATGAGATAAAGTGTATCTGATCCCTCTGACGAGTACAGGTGCGGGGAGAGGATTTTCTCCCCCACTATTTGAGAGGGTGGATTTGCCCTGAGCCGTCCTAAACTTCCTCCTCTGATCCCTCCATGATCAAGTGCATGAACTCAAGTGACAGCTGGTGGGGCCACGACCACAGCACATGAAAAGCCGGCCGCGGCCGCGCAGGGAGGAGAGGCATGGCCTGCCCTTTCTCGTGCGCCTCTCTGTCCACTGCACCTCACTCAGAGGCCATCTGCTCCCTCCCGAAGCTGGACGTGAACGTGGACGGGGCAGGGGCCGGCATGGTGGGGTGTGGAATTCACAGGGAGGCCATCCTGGGCTCACTTTCGCCCAGGTCCACGCCTCCTTGGACGTTCCTCTACTGTTAGTGCACAACTTTTCACTTTCTCCAGGAGAAAAAAAAATTTAGTGAGCATCTGGTATTTACACAGAATCTTAGAGGGAGTTGACGGATTTAATTACAAGTGTTAGTAAAACAGGAAAATTGTAGCCAGGCTTTCAAATAGCCACTCGCCTGTAAGCGACAAGACTTCTTTGTGCTGCCGTTAAAGGACACGATTTACTTCCCAGCCAGGAGTTTTCTTGGAGAAGGGGACACGGGTGAAAAGACAGCTGCTGGCTGGTAGCTTTTATTTTAATGTGCGATGCCGTCCTTCTTATACAAAGATCGAGCTTACAAACAACGTTCAGCGAGGCTGTGGGCTCAGGGTTGTTTTCCCGCTCGCACGGGTGGTGACGGATTTCCTCTCTGTCACCAACACCCGCTCACCACCGGCAGCACGCATCTGTGAAAGGACTAGCCGGGTTTCCAGGCTCCACATAAGGCCGGGAAGACGACTGAAAACGGCTGATCCGCGCGAGGATGAGGATGGACCCGGTCCTCACCGGCAGCCGGCTCCGGCCAGCTTTAATGCTGGTTACAAGTCCCGGGAAGAGCATCGCACACGGGCAAGGTCAGGGCTACCCGAGTCCTGGGCCAGATCGGCCAGGCCAGAAAACCCGGATTTTAGAACAGGTTCCGTCCCTGCGGGTTGTGGCTTTGGGGAAAAGTCACAAAACCTTTCTTCTCCTCTACGATGCCGGACAGGTTGGGAGGAACAGTCTCTCTCGCTCTCTTCCAAGATCCTAGGATTCTGTACGACCTACTATCTAGATTATAAACAGAACAGCGTCTGCGCTGGAAAATAACATTTCCCTCTTTCCATTTTCTTGGAGTTTACGTTATTAGTATCTAAGTAGGACATACTGCTTGAGTTATTTTTCCTGGGGTTCCCACGCTCTTAGCAGTTCCTGATAAATCAACGAAACGTCCGAAGCCTGCCCTGTCCAGTTTGCATTTAATGCTTCCAACCAGTGAGTCCCATGTAACGTCCTCATCAAAACAGGGCACAAGTGAGCCTCTCAGGCCCTGGGCCTCTTGTCCCTTGGTACTGTGGGCCCATTAAACACATTTGTCAGCTTTATGTTTTAAAAGCAAAACCAAAAGGGTAAATGTGTCATCACATACTTTTTAATCTGAAATCCACACGGGAAGGAGTTCAGAGAGAGAAAGAAAATACACCCTCCCCTAAGCCCCTCACACACACACACACAGACACACAAACACACGTGTGCACACGCACACCTCTCCCCGCCACCATACACTCATTGGAATGGGCTTCATCTTCATCAGACCATTCCCGGGGCCGAGGCACGTCACACCACACTGGGAACCAGCGCAGTCATTTCTGACACTCCACAATCAGATGAAACAGGCCCTGCGCCGGGCCTGAAAGGGAAGAGGACCACATGTCTCCCCTCTCAGGACTTTTTCTTTCTTTTTTTTTTTTCTAACAGGGAAGTTTGGCTTGGAAAGAACTTGTTGCACAGATACATGTGGCCTCAGCAGGATGGATCCTTAATGGAGGAGACAGATTCCAGATTCAGGCCCGCTGGAGCAGGGCTTAAATCCTCCGAATTCGGTAATGGAAAGTTTGGGTCACATTAAGGGCTGTGGGATCCGGGGGTAAGATTTAGTTCTAAATCAGCCTCTTGAGCAGCCCCCTAAGAAGCACCATATGTCTCCAATTCTCTCTTGGCGCTTTCCTTTTGAGGGACCAGAGAACCCCTGGCTTCAGACCGTTTCCCTGTGTATTTAATGATGACTCCCATCCTTAGAATGGCTTTTTCTTTTTAAAGTTCTTTTCAAATGTTTCCCAATCTTTCATTCTGAAAAGTCCCAAATTTCTAGAAACGATGAAAGGATGGTCCAAACAACACCCACACCACCTTCGTTTCTGTTCCTCGACTAACATTTTGCCCCAATTACTTTCTCTCTCCTTACTCTTGACACACATGCCAAGGGGTGTCCATGCACCTACCTGGTCCCTCAGGGTTGGTGTGGGAAAGAGGCATCTGCCCCAGATTGCCTTCTGGCACCTTCCTCATGGCTGCTTATCTGAGTGGCAACGTCTAAGACCCTGACTGGGTCATGTCCGCTGGTGGACCGGGTCCCTGTGACCCGAACCCCACCCTCCCAACGTGTGTTAGAAAGTCAGCACACCCTGGGTTCCTCTTTGTGCTTCCAGGACTCATGAGGACTCCATTCCGCTGAGGCGGCTTGGACACAGCTTTGGGCTCGGTGGTCAGTCAAGAGGGAAAGTGGGCTGTGGGGAAAGGGGCGGCCTACTCTCCTGGGGAGCTAAAGGCCCTTCCTCATCCGCACGGAATGCAGACGGGCTCGTCAGGGGCCCGCAGGCATTCACCCAGCTAACCACCTGGCATAGTATTGGACGCTCCTGTCCCTGCTTCCTCATCTCCAGGATGGACGGATACTGGGCCTACTTCAGCATCACTGAGAAGTCAGTGACCCACACCCCGCGAGCGCGTGGTCGACAGAGCCGGAACTCCTGTCCCAAATGCTCCTTCCAGGTGCCCCTCTGAGGAAGAGCTGACAGATGAGGTGCGACGTGGATGGACATCTGGCCTCGTGAGCCTCTTAATCTCGACAAAGCCCGCTACATGCACCATGCTGGACGGCACCTACACACGCAGAGCGGCCTGGGCCGGGGAAGGAGCCACGGCGAGAGGGATGGCAGTTCGGGAGAGCATCAGGACAGAACCAAGGAAGGGCAAGAGGCTCCGGGGGGCGGAGGGGACTCAGAAGTGGAAAATGCGCAGGAGGCCGGGGAAGGACAAGGCCCGAGAAAGGACGGACGGCGGGTAAAGCGGCAGGTCTCCAGGGAACGGCCAGAGATGCTGGACCACGGACGAGCGAGTGAGTGGGTGATGGGGCAAGAGCACAGAGGTGGGACCTACGGACGACGGTGCGAGGAGCCACGGAAAAGCCTGAGACACACAGGGCCGGAGTCCGACTTCAGTGGTCTGTGGTGGTAGTGGTCTGTGGTGGACAGTGGTCTGTGGTGGAGGGCAGGAACGTGGTCCTCACCCTTCCGACTGCCGTCTACAATCTACTCTGCCCGGAGGCTCTCTCTCCCTACAGGATACCCCCGCCTGGGGACAGTGTACGCCGACGCAAATATACACGTATTTCTTCATAAAGAGAAGCAGCCATTCACGCCAGATCAGCAGTAAATGATCGCAGTGTCCCGTATTTTGCATTCACAGACCATTTTGTCCACGAAAGCCAATGGAAGCACGAGGAGAAAGAGACCCAGAAAGCATCGTGGTACTTGGAAAACGTGGCTGCAAGTCCTTCCCGTCAAGATGTGGAGGCTACCCCCCACCCGCCCTGAATTTGGCGAACTCGTGAGAGCTTTGATTGGGGGGCAGAAGTGGTACCATTTCCAAGGCGAGGCGAGAAGAGGCCTTGCTGCTTCTGCCTCTCAGGAAGCTCCCCCCCAACCCAGCTGCCATTTTGAAATGGCCAAGCCACAGGGGAAGGACTCGTGGAGGTCCCCCCACGGAGGGTCCCAGCCAAGCTCGGCCCGGAGTCATCCCCACCCAGGCTCGGGACATGGGAGGGAAGTGCTCTCTGGATTATTCTAGCCCCTGGAATTCAGATTCGAGTCACCCGGACACCCTGGAGCAGAGACGAGCCATCCCGGCTGTGCCCTGGCCCAATTCCTGACCCACTGAACCGGTGAGCGTAATAAAGGGGGGGGGGTGGTTTCACACCGCTAGGTTTTGGAGTAGACAACTAGAACAAACACATCTTTAAACATGGATTTCCCACTTTGTCATGGGCATTTGCCATAATCAAGCCCTTCCATTTCTGAGGCTGTTTCTACGACTGGGCACGGGGGTGGGGGTGGGGGTGGGGGTGGGGATTAGTGTGACAAACCCCCATAGCCCAGGCCACACCGGAGGGCTGTAGGAAGCTTACTGACGGGACAGTAATCACCAGTGTGAATTGTAGGGGTACAGGAGGTAAGTCCCACTGCACACCGGGGGATCACATCACTTTTAAGAGAATCAACAAATGCAAAAGAACTTGATAAATATTTTCCATAACAAAACACAATTGGTTGCAAAGGGATCCAGCTCGGTTCCTCATTAGTTCTCCCTCACTTGTCAGACAAGCTCGGAGCTCACGGAAACCCACTGTGGATTCTTCATAGCTTGCTGGGAAATGGGACTCTACATTTCCTTCACAGCGCATGTTTCTGGAGCCCGCTTCCACATCTGGAGTGCGGGCTTGCTCCCTCTGCCCGGGGGAAAGGAGCATCAGCTTCCAAAGAGAGGGAAGAGCGGGTCACCGCGGCGGCTTTGGAAGTGGCCGAGGGGCAGAGGGGGTGGGGAAGGCCAGGCTGCCATCATCAGGGCTCCCTGGTGCCCCGGGATCACGGTAGGTGATAACACACTTGGCTGACATCAGAAAAAAGAACCATCATTCCTCTCCCCACCCTCAGTCCCTCTTCTTCTTTTTTTTTTTCAAGGAGGCTTTTTACCCTCATTAAATGAAACCTTATCTCTGAAAGACTGCGATCCTCAGCAAATGACAAGTGAGACTAATCTCGTTTTCTGACAACTGATTCTTGACAGTACCTTCCCTTTGACTTCTGAGACACGCAGTTAGACATGTATTAATCTGTCAGTCATCATCCCTAGGAAGAATAAAAAAAAGAGAGAGGAAGAAAGAAATGAACATTTGTGAGTATGAAGGCAAGACAAGGGGCGAGAACACCTATTTTAACTGACGCACGAACATTCCTTTCTCGCACAGCCCCCGCCCATCAGGCTGGGGGAACATCCCCGCAGGGGAGAGGCGAGCCGTCCAACCCAAGGACCTGCGGAAGAGGCACCCCGGATCGCAGGCAACGCGGTCCGGCAGAAGGGCGTGCGCCCTGGAGTGCGGCGGGCCGGGTTCAAATCCCAGCCCCACGTGGAGGTCACAGGTAGATTGAATAAGATCTTTAGTCTCTGCGCGTCAGAACCCTGCCTGTGGGATTCGGCTCATGGCTTCTGCTGGCTGCAGAGAGTAAATAATCTTTATCTACTGCGCAGGTGGGCATAAAGTCAGCACCCAATCCAGTATTTCCGGTGGGAACACTACCACTGCTGTTTCTGCTCGGGTCTCCCTCGGAGATGCTGAACAGGGAAGCAGGAGGAAATAAAGGGTGCACCCCGTTCCTCAAGAGGTCACGCACGTAGAAGGGATTCGAGAACTACACGGCAGCGCTCACAGGGACCGCCAAGGAGAACCCCATAAAAAATGGCGCCACATGACTCTGGAAAACTCAGACTCTCATGCTGGTTGCTCCCAACCCACGCTCAAGATCTCGGACACACGGCCACCCCTGCCTCTGTTTCCGTACTCCGGAAGGAGATTCTGAACTCTGTCCCTGAGGCATTTGCAAACGGGAGCGCACGTGTGCTGTCTGTTTGCTTGTTTGTTTCAAGGGGTGGGGGAGTCACGGAACCACATCGGTCTTAGGATCCCCGTGGGTGAACCAAGTCCGTCTGCCTGGCTGGCAGAGTAAAAGAAACGGGGTATTTTCGACCACATGTCATGAGTCAACACCTGCATTGGGAGCGGTCACCCACAGCAGCTTTTTTTATCTTTTCATACAGAGACGGACAGAGAAGGGAAGACGCAAAGGCCTCCAGCCTTACCTCCGAGCTAATGGGCATGAATGAGCCAGGCGCTCGGGCTTCTCTGCAGAGGGCACGCCCGCAGATTCTGGGGTCGCTGAGCCTGAAAACGATCCCGAGAAGTCCTCCCCAGGAGTACGCCTCTCTGAGACCGGCCTCTGGGTTATATGCCTCAGCCCCCGCCGCGCCCCCACCAGGTGCGACAATACGAAACACCAGAGTGCTCTCTCCACGGCCTCTGCCGCATTGATTCCACCTGCTGGGGCCGTTATTAGATAAACATGCTTCGTGCTGCCACGAGAGGGTCACAACACAAAGGACTGGGGAAGAGGAAGGAAAATGAGGAGTCTATGGAGTCACTGGCACCCACTTCTTAGGGACAAGGTGTTGTTCTGTGAAGAACGGGCACTTCCCGGGACACCTGCCGTCCCTTTCTCTGCTCTCCTCCTCCTGTTTCTGCAACCGAATCCTTGGTTGCTGGTGTGTCTGCATGGCTGATGGAGAAGGAAGGAAACAGAGGTAGCACCACAGTCTGCCCTCTGCTGCGGTTAACGAAGACCACGTGAGACAGGACAGAACGGGGAGAGGAGACGATCCGTGCTCAGGTGAAAGTTCTTCTGCACTCCAGCAACAGGGGACACAACCTGCTTCCCTCCTCCTCCTCCACCTCCCTCACCCATCCCTCTGGCACTGTGCCACCTGGATCGTCATGGGCCCCACAGAAGAAGGAGTCCCCGCACAGGGGTGGAAACACAACGGAGGAAAATCCCTGGAGGAAAAGACAACAGACTTTTGGTTTTAGCAAGAATGAACTAGAAAGTCTCCAAACCAGCGACTTGGAGAAACGTGATCTTTAGGTAACTGCTCCACATTTGCTAAGACTTCATAGTTCCCGGGAAGACAGATCAACGGGATGAATGACCAAGCCACCCGCAGGCCATGTCCACTGCGGGGGTACAACGGAGATTCACATGGGGCCATGCTGGGCTCCCCCAACAAGACCTAGGAGTCCAGAGCCCTGGTCTGCATTCCGACCATGCCGATTGCTTCTGCGCTCTGGGCCTGTTGTGATGCTCGTCCTTCTCAGGATTTGTGGGATGAAGGTGAAGCTGAAAAGCACTCCATCAACTCCAAAAGGAGTTCTGGAGTATATTTATATGTATATAAATGGGTATACGTTTGGTATACATTTAAATGTTGAAACACTGGGTGTTACTGTTCCAAAAAAGTTTCCAGAACTTGAGAGAAGGTTATTTTATAACAGAAAAATTACAATTAAAAAATAATTAAAAAGAGGGGTGCCTGGGTGGCTTGGTCAGTTAAGCATCTGACTCCTGATTGCAACTCAGGCCTTGATCTCAGGGTTATGAGCTCAAGCCCCCTGTTGGGAAGCCTACTTAACAACAACAGCAAAAACCTAAAATATAAAGAATGAGGCTGGCCAGCTGCAGAAGCAGCCCAAGAAACTGCCTGAACTCATGGCTGAAGGATCTAGAGTGACCCCAGTTCAATCCAAGTGACCTTAGTGTGATCTCAGGGAGTCAGGATCCCAATGTGATTAGAAGTAAGAAAGCTTAAGTTGGATCCTATCATTCTCTTATCTGTCTACGCACCCACTTTGCTATATGATCGTTTATCTTCCATCCAACCAACCACCCATCCACCAATCCATCCACCCCCCCACCCCCCACCAATCCATCCATCCATCCATCCATCCACCCACCAATCCATCCATCCATCCATCCATCCAACGATCCATCCACTCACCTACCAATCCATCCATCCATCCATCCATCCACCCATCCATCCACCTGTCTGTCCATCCATCCACCTGTCCATCCACCCACCAAACCATCCATCCATCCATCCATCCATCCAACCATCCATCCATCCATCATCTCCTACACGTCTAACATGTGATAAGCACAGACTACTTCGCACCAGCGCACACAGATAAGGTATGGACTCTGCTCTTGGAGAGCCCACTGTCCAGTATAGGAAGCAGTATAATCAGAAAGCAGAATTAAGTGCTATAAGTATAATAATAGAAATCGATGCATGGTACTGGGGATTCGCACAGGATGGAAGGGCCAACTGCCTGAACCTCTTGCTCTCACAGTCCCTGCTCGCCCAGTGACCTTCAGACTACAATTTGGTTTCCTCAGGAACTGTCCTTTGGGGTTAGAGGTGCCAACTGGGGCATGTAAGTCATTCTTCCTGGAGCGGGTGGCGATACTGCTCTTTGTAAACAGAAAGATTGGTGTTGTAATTTAGTGGGCTTCCCTGGAGTCCGATTAGCACGATCCCCTCTGAGTTTCCAGACCGGGCTGACCCGATCATGTAGCTGCCCTTCCAGGAGCCTGCAAGTGAGCCGCCATCTACATTCCCACCTTGCTGTTCTGTAACCACCACTGGTGGGGGTTTGGAGCTGGTACAGGAACTTCCTCTGTCCTTCTGCTTTCAAAAATCACGTGTCCCACTCTCTTCAGTAAGTCAGTGAGTGCTACGTCTTCACTTCCCTTCACGCTGTTCCACCACAAGTGTGACGCCGGCTTCCTGCACGTATGAGGCCACGGGGGTCTCTGGTCAAGGCTTTCCTAATGAACAGATCCAAGGGCCCTTTCTGTCTCTCCTTCTACACAACTCGCTGACTGCCACTCCCTTTTTCACTGGGGCTCCATGATGGCGAGTGATTATTATCCTCTTGCTTTGCTTTTCCTTTAATAGTGGGATTTTTTTCAACGTCCCCTTCAATGTCTAGAAAGAAGGAAGTAGGAGGCTCTTACCCATTCCCCAACTTCTATCATAATTTCTGAGCAGATGGTGCTCGAGTCTCCAGCCCTACACTTCTCCTGCATTCCAGACCCATATTTCCAACTCATCTGTTGGACAGTGGCACTGACTGTCTCATTGGCACTTCAAAAATCAGTTTCCAGAAAGGAACTCATAGGCATTTCCTCTTGATTGCCAATGGAGTGGACTAGGCCGTCCCCCTCCCCTCCCCTCAGTTCACCGAATCTTCAGGACACCTTCCTCCCTTTCGCCCTCATGGTCCTGGCTTTCGTGCAAGTCCTCAGCCAGCTGGGGTAGTGGTACTGATTGTCTCTTCCCAGCCTGGTGTTCTGCTCTCTCTTTTCATCCTTGTAAAGGCTCCAAACATGACAGGCCTGAGGACGGAGGTCTGTGTCAAACCATTGGATTCTTCCTTCCAGGCTGACAAATACGAAGGGACGGGTTAGATAGAGATTGGCTGTCCGATCTCACCTCTGCCCCACCAGTCTTGTCCACAGATCTTGGACAAGGTACTTAACCCCTTTGAACAAAGCTTCCTCGCCCGTCATAGTGGGTTGGCGACTTGCTACACCCTAGGCTGATAGGAGGAAACTGGGTAGACCCCATCCAGTGCAAAGGAGAGCCTAGACATTCGCAGCTATCTTGGCTGAAAGGAAGGGAAACCGGAAGATGAAATCATTTGATTTGCCTTGCTTGGCCTGTGGTGCCCAGCCCTATACACCGTACACGGTAGGAACTCAAGTATCTGTACTGCCTTTGAATTAAGGAACTTCTTTGAGCACGTCCCAAGGAGAGGAAGAGTAGCACAAAGGGCTAGGGCCGTCCTTTCAACGGATAATTTTCCTTTCTTCAAGCAGTTACCAGGATTGACAATCTTTCCCTTCGAGCATCGAATCTAAATCATTTCACCAGCCTGCTGAATGGCTGCTCACTGCACACCCAGCCAGGGAGGAAGAAGACCCGGGGAGGCTGGAAGTCATCTCTGCGCGAGCCAGATCTGTTTTGTGATTCTCTACCGAGGCCCCTTCAGGATGGTGGCAATGGCTCTATGGTCACTGGCTGGGCATAAAACTACTAAGTCAAAATTTGTAAACTAGGCTTGGGGTTGCAAGGGTAGAGGAGGGGTGGAAGTTAAAGGAAATGGGGTTGTTTGTTCTATTCTCCTCAGGGCAACTCAGTAACTGCCTCTGGAAAGCTGAACAACTATAAAGAAGGTGCCCTTGCTCGTGGAGGTCATGGTGAAGCACGGACATGGTGAGCTCTGGCTGCCCTGGGCTGTGCCTGGACACAGGGGAGGGACCCAGTTCCCCTCCTAGGTCCCTTCCAGCTCGCGATCCCATGACACCTTGTCTACCATGGGCTGCAGAGCCCGGAATCAAGTACTTTGGGTCGATGGGTCCGAAGGCTTCATTCTGCTTTGATGGTCTGACTAGACAGCAAGCATTTGTCCCCATTTCTCTTCCTCCCTTGGTGACGGTGGTGACACATCTTATTCTCAGTTACCTTCACATTCCCAGACTTCTTCCTCAACACGTGCTGTTTTCTGACACGCGCACACGAGGACCAGGGCTTACACATGCTTGGAATCAGCTACAGTTTGATGAAGACGGAGCGGAGACAGAGGAAGTAATGACAATCATCATTTCATCCGTAAGCCTTCCTGCCCCACCCCGGCTCTCCGTGTGCAAAAAAAAGGCAATTAAAACAGGATTCAATTAAAAATACCGTAAAAAAGAAATCAAATAAAATATTATAAAGCCATGTGCCATTATTAAATAAGTGTTTGCGAGAGGAGGTCCTTCCACAGTAACGAACAGCCCAGAGAGAGCAGGAAATCATCCCCCGGGCGGGGAGAACGCACACTCGACGCACACCTACAGGGAATGCCGCTTTGTTCTTCAGCACAAAACCCATGTCTTATTGAAAAGTAAAAAAAAAAAAAAACGAGCCCCCCACCCTTGGCTATCCTACAAGCGTGCGACTTGTACTCCCTCCACGTTTCCAGTTCTTACCCGCCCCAGCCCCATCTGCTTCGCCTCCAGGAGGCACATCTCCCACTAAGCCCCATGAGGAGCGCGAGCGCGGTGGGTCTCTCCGAACCGGCTAACTGAGGTCACGCCTCCGCCCAGCTCTGTGCGGGCGCGTCCCCAGAACCAAGTCAGAAGCCCACAGGAGTAATTACGGGCTCTTTATCCAGCCGGCTCAACACGGAAAGGTGACACAAGGAAGTGTCCAATTCTAACTTTAACTTAGACTCCGAAAAGAAAAAAAAACCCGTGTGCAGGCCAGTAAGATGTACAAAGTGGAGGGATTCGGGAGACCAGGGTTTTAGTCCTAGTGGTGTGACCTTGGGCGAGTCACGTTAGCCTTTCTTGGAGTCTCCGAGCTGTCCTCACAAGCTACACCAACTCCCTCTCAGCTCGAAAATCCTCTGCTCCTGTGTCTCTGCAAACACAGCGAACGGGTTTTTCCGATGTTTAAGCCCTTCTGTACCTCTGTAGGGTAGATGAGAGCCAGAGAAACAAGAGCCTTAGAAGCACAGAGTCGGCATAACCAGAAGGGATGTAATTAAAATCGGGTTCTGTTCCCACAAACACACCCAAGGATCTTCCCAAAAAAACACGACGGTAATTAACAACCCTGGAAACCCCACGCCGCCGCCCTCCAGGCCCCGCTGGGCTTCCACGCGGGCCTGACTCGGAACCCAGGCTCTCGCCCTCACCCCTCAGACAGCAGGCCCGGCCCCAACTGCTGCTTGGGCGTGTTTTCACCGCCCTTGGCTCTCCGGGAGAGAGAAGCATTTCCAAGCCATGCAGGGGCACGAATACATTTCTGGAATTTTAAAAATCATTAAAATGATGAAAAGGAAATAGAAGGGGCCTGCTGGTATCACCCTATTCCCACATCTGTCCCGAAGCCTCCTCTTTTCTCTCTTTGCCTCCAAGAGACTGCCACGGAGCAGGTGCCAAATTGGTTCCTCGGGAACCTGGCTCTGGGAGGAGCCCTCCTCTCCCCCGAGCTGCTCCCCGCCCCCGGCCCCCGGGGACACGTGTTTCGCTGCCCAAATCCTCCAAGGCTGAGGCATCCCAGGGGCTGAGCCAGCCCCTGGCACTGTTCAGACAAGGACGAAATCTATTTTCAGAATTCTCCTCCGCTTTTAACGCCCTATGTCATGCGTTCACCCAGACTGGCCTCACAGCCCAGATAGTGCATTTGTCCTGTGAACTGGCTGGCCCGATAAACTTCACAGGGCCCCAGCCAGGGAACCCGAGGCCACTTGGGGACAGCCGGGGAGGTCTGCCTTAGCAGAACACGTCCGTCAGGATCTCTAGATCACACCGAGGGAAGCTGTCCTCAGTCCACGGCAAACGAGGCCCAGCAGGAGAAGCCCGAGACAGATAATGAGTTCTCAGGTGTTTCCAAAGTAAATTCATGGAGGGCAAGAGC